GAAGGAAGGAAGGAAGGAAGGGAGACATCTGGTGAGCAGAAAAATAATCAAATGCAGGCGCTTCACTAGCACAAACCAGTCGGGCTTGTGAGAAAGCTTTAATGCAGTCTGTTCACTATTCAGTGTCTTCAATCACCAGTTCTTAGGACCTGAAAATAAACACCAGCCGGGGTCGCAAGGAAGCTGGGCTTCTTTCTGCCGCCTGCTCAGCTGTCACTCTTTTCTCCCTGGTTTTAAGAGACCTGTGTAATGTACGAGTTTGGGGAGGTTCCTTCTCTGCTTTATATCAAAGTATCCTAGTCCTGTTGATTGCTGCAGAGAAGCAGAGTCTTCTACTTGAGGAGGTTTTGGCTGTTGTCTACTCAGCCATGGTGCTTTCTTGGAGGTGGCGGGCGGTTCTTGATGGTCTCACACTTGGGAATGTGTCGCTCAGCTACCTTGGGAGCAAAGTGACGACTGCAGTGAGCGCACTGGACGTAGTCTGGGTTTTCTGCAGGGAGGGCAGGAGGCCAGGCTGAGGGCTTTCCACCCTGGGCCATGGCCTGCTGGATCTCTCGAGCCTGGCGGAGAGTGTGGATGAAGGACTCGTGCTTCTGTCTCCAGTTGCTCTTCTGAGGAGGCTCGGCCTGGAATGTAAAGGAAGACTGATGACTCAGTGTGTCCTTCCTGAGGGAGATTAAACAGGTAGTAATCCACAAGGTCAGAGAGCAGGGAAGGAACGACAGTGGCGAGGGACAGAGCAGGGCTACAGACAGGGCCTGCGAGGGGCAGCCATAGGAGACAGACTGCTTTCCTAGCAGAACCCGGGAGGGCCAGAGCTTGGATGTAGCTACCAGGCTGTTGAAGCCAGGAGATACTGGGCTAAAGAGAAGTTGGCTTCTCTCTAACCTACATGTCCACAAAAAAGTACACAAAAGACCCAAAAAAGTATACAAACAAAAAGGAACAATAATTAGATGAAACTTTTGTTTCTTTTTTCATCACAGGAACTGCAGCCCAGGAGTTCATGCATGCTACATTCATGCTCTACCACTGAACTCTGACTTAAGGCCTGACTTAAGGCCTTTTTTGTTTGTTTGTTTGTTTGGAGTTAAGGTTTCCCAGGCTGGGCTCAAGTTTGCAATTCTTTCTGCTAGGCTCCCCAGATAATGGGGATTTATAGGCATATACCAACATGCCCTGACAATTTTTTCTAACAGAAAACATAATATCAACAAAATTGATACTAGAAGAAATTAATATATCAATAAAAAGAAACAGAACCAAATACATTATTTTTGTGGCCGGCTCTGGCCCCTCTGGGGGCGGGGCTGGTGAGCCTGGATGCTGGAAACCAAACTGGGAGGTCCCTGTGCTTCCTAAGCTTGCCTAAGCAGGTGCCTCAGACCACTTAGCTATCTCACCAGCCCTAAAAAGTAAAAAATTTTGATAGCTAAAAATAAAAACAAAATAGAAATGTAAAATGTCAAGAAAATTCCTTAGGAAAAAGTAAAATGGAAAATAGACAAGATTAGAAAATTTAAAAGACAATCCAGGAAGTCTAATATACCAATAGGCATCCAAAAGGTTTTTTGTTTGTTTGTTTTTGGGTGGAACCGGGGATTGAACTCAGGCCCTTGCACTTGCCAGGGAAGCACTTATTCCATTGAGCCATCTCCCCAGCCCTAGACATCCAAAAAGAACAGAAATCACAAGGAAAAATTAAACAATATTGCATTCCTCAAAGGCCATCAGTCTTAAAACTGAAATGGCTTTCCAAGCATTGAGCAAAATCATAAAATTTCAGAATAAAATATGCATTCAGAAAAAAAAATTGAAAAAATAAAATAATTTTTAAAATACGCATTCAGGAAAAAAACAGATTTCACATAAAGAAATAGGAATCAAGATGACATTTGCTCTTTCAGCAGTAAACACTACAGGCCAGGGAGATGGCTCAGTGGAATAAGCGCTTCCCTGGCAAGCGCAAGGGCCTGAGTTTGATCCCCAGTTCTGCAAAAAAAAAAAAAAAAAAAAAAAAAAAACAGTAAACACTGAGTGCTAAAAGGTAGTGGTAAATGCCTTAAACGCTCTAATAAAATTATTTTCCACATAGAATTCTAAGCCCAGCCAAATTATCAAATAAGCTATTATACAGATGCTTTAATTCACTTTTCTAGACTTAAAGGTCATGAGTCTTGAGGCTGAAGTGGCTCACCAAATGTCCAGCATAATCATTGTAAAATTTTTTTAAATATACTTCCTGTGTACATTTTTTTAAGGAAAACAGAGTGAAGCAGGAAAATAGAAGACACAGGATTTGGTATCAGGAAATACGAGAAGTTCCTCAGAAATAGCCAGTCTGGACTGGCAGAGGAAGAAAAAAAAAAAAAAAGGCTTTCAGAATTAAAAAAAAAACTAAATTGACACATATGGGCAGGGGTAGAATTTGTTCACTTACCAGTGAACAAAACTTACAGTGTCATTTAAAATCTGACTATGACTTACTCTACAATTGGGGTTGAACTACAGTGGAAAGAAAAGGAGTAGAAAAGGGGAGAGAAGATATGAAAGAGGGCTGGGGAGAGGGCTCAGTGGAATAAGCACTTCCCTGGCAAGCGCAAGGGCCTGAGTTCAGTCCCTGGTTCCGCAAAAAAAAAAAAAAAACGAAAATAAGCCTAGAAAAGGCTACGACAGGATACTGCTTATCTGCATCACAGACCGCTTAGGACTACATGTCTACTGTAAAGGCATGCAATATTGCATAAAATGATTTTTTGCGGAACCGGGGATTGAACTCAGGCCCTTCTGTTTGCCAGCTAAGCACTTATTCTACTGAGCCATCTCCCTGGCCCCAAAATGAATTTTTAAAGAATGAAAAAAAGAAAAAGACGACAAATAGCTCTTGATAACAGCAAAAGTTACTATCACAGGTTTAAGAAGGATCCTCCTAAAACAGAAACAGAAAGCCCGAGAGATGTTCAAGATCATATCCAGGAACCTCTGAAAGAATTCAGCTGGGCGGGGGGAATTCAGCTAGGGAAAGATTCCTCATGTGTATGACATCTTTATTTCCCCTGGTACTGGGGCTTCCCCTAAGAACTCTGGCATGCTGTGCAAATGCTCTACGGCTGAGCTACACGTTCAGCCCCTTAAGTCTTAACTCATACTGAAATTATATTCATTTAACACATTGACTGCGGTTCAGTCCCCCAGCACAAAGATGTGTGTAGTTGCTGACCTCAAGTGCTGCCAGTGTACACAGTAGACATGATGGCACAAGTCTGCTGGAAGTTATGTTACATAAAGATTTTTAAATATCACTTCTTGGAAATAGAAGTAACAATGGAGATACAACTACTCAGGAATGGAGCTCTAGATAAGGCTTGGACAGTCCCAGAAGAGATATATCTCGGGGCCAGGGAGATGGCTCAGTAGAATAAGCACTTCCCTGGCAAGTGCAAGGGCGAGTTTGATCCCCGGTTGTGGGGGGAAGGCGGGGGGAAGAGAGAGATCTCAAACTAGGTCCTTTTCCCCTCAGTGTGCTCAGTAAAACATTTCCTCAAGGATGTGAGGGCGATCTGGCTGCGACATCTGTCACCCACTGATTGCCAGGGTTGATTCGGCAGGTGTCCCCTTCCTCCCTCAGCGATCCACGTGCATCCCTCCTGAAGCTGCGCACTCGGTCGAAGAGGACAACCACCCCTGATAGAGGAGGACTGTTCCTCGGTCAAGGGTATACAAGTAGCTGTGCCCCCCTGCTAGAACCTCCAAACAGGCTCTCAAAACATTTCCTCAAACTAGTTTCCACAGAGCTAGGATGTCTGATCTCAGAAACCCAAGTCTTTTGCTTCACTATATTTAAACTTTTAAGAACCACAAGATTCTTTTAGGTTCTGGCCAAATATAAATTGCTGTGGTCAGACACAGGGAATCCCCAGTGGACTACTGTGTTGTCCAAAAAGAACATAGGAAAGAGCAGTGGCTGGCTATCCTACCACTATCTACCACTGCACTCTGAGGACTTCTTGTTGGGTCTACAGCCATACCACCCTGAACGTGCCGATCTCAGCTAAGACTTCGTGTTGGATGCTAGTCGCCTCTGCACATGGGACTTTCTTGTGGTGACCTCCCAGATTGCAAAGTATGTACATCTCATAGCCATCGCATCCATGTGAGATCTTAAAGCCCTCAGCAAATACACATGGAACAGAAAGGTCCTACTGCACAAGAAGTACCAACACAACAGAGGAAGAGCTGGAAAAAGAAATGAAAGCAAGGGGCTGGGGAGATGGCTCAGTAGAATAAGCACTTGCCTGGCAAGCGCAAGGGCCTGAGTTCAATCCCTGGTTCTGCAAAAAAAAAAGAAAAATGAAAATGAGACATTTATTCTTCTAGATTAGAGCTAGATGAGGTCTTTGAGATCATATGGCTTAAGCATTCCCACATCTGATCATTTATTCTATTAACGTTTTTTTATATTGATCCCAGATTTAACGTGCTGTTATATTTATAATAAAAAATGTCAGTAGACAACTTGAGAAATACTCATGTTATGAGTGGCATACCCTTGATATTTATGAGACAATCTTATCCAAACTTGTCCAGATATACCTGGAAATTCTCCTGAACTTATTGTCTTGAAACTCTTAACTTGGTTTTTCCAAGTGATGTTTTTAAAGATAATCAAAAGCAGAATCTTTTATCCTGAAAGTGTTTATACTCTAAATGAGAAAAATAATTCCAAACCTAGATGTACTTCATGTATTTATTAAAGTGTATTGACACCAAGCTAAATTTGAAAAGTGGATACAGCTAAAGGACCCTAGTCTTGGGAGGTGACAGAGTATAGCAAAGAGTAAGAAGTTCTTTTGGCAAACCAAGAACACAAATATTTTGTTCATAGCTCTTTCTTTAGATATGTCATGTTTTAAAATTTGTCAAGGGGCTGGTGAGATGGCTCACTGGTCTAAAGCACCTACTTAGAACAAGCTTAGCAAAGCACAGAGACCGCGGTTCAATCCCCCAGCACCACATGCCAGCCAGCCCCGCCCCCTGGTGGACTAAGCTGGCCACACACACATAAATAAATAAAATT